AAGAGTTTGAGGTTGCTGTGAGCTATGATGCCACAGCACTCTACCAAAGGCGACAAAGTAAGACTGCCTCCACAGTTTATATATATAAATTTATATATATATATATACACACACACATATATATACTATATCATATTATAATGATGAATTCATGTCATCTATTACGCATTTGTCCAAACCCATAGAATGTTCAACACCAACAGTGAATCATAAGCTAAACTATAAATTTTGAGTGGTGATGTGCTGATGTAGGTTCGTTGATTGTAACAAATGCACCACTCTGCTGGGGGATGTTGATAACAGGCTGTGCCTGTGTAGGGGCAGCGACTATATGGGAATTCTCTGTACCTTCTGTTCAATTTTTCTGTGACCCTAAAACTTCTCTAAAAAATAAAGTCTGTTAAAATAATAGTATCTAATATTTATTTAATAGTATTTGTTTGACATGTTTTAGAGTTTTCAAAGAGCTTCTGTATATTGTGTCTCAGTTTTTTATAACCATAAAAATAGAGAGAATAGGATTTGAGTGAGAATTAAATGAGCACATGCACGTAAAATCCTTAGACTAGCGCCTGGCACACTAGAAGCTCTCCATAAACATAAGCCATGAATATTATTTATTATAGTACTAGTCTTTCACTTGAGTCATGAAATAACCTGTGAGTAGGTGTTTTCATGCCTGTTTTACAATGTCAAAATAAGACAGATTTGGGAAAATTAAATGACTTGCCCATACGTGGAGACTCCAAAATTCCAAATCTCCAATATATTGTACAATTGATCTCCAATGTGAACTCTTATAAAAACCTGCTGGGGATGGTACAGAAACAGGGAAAAGGTAGTACATGAATGTGCACCCAACTGAGAGTTCTAACCCATGCACTGATTTAGCATCTTTTTTATTTTCTGAGTCGGAGTCTTACACCGTTGCCCTGGGTAGAGTGCTGTGGCCTCATCATAGCTCACAGCAACCTCAGTCTCTTGGGTTCAAGAGATCCTCTTGCCTCAGCCTCTGGAGTAGCTGGGACTAAAGGCACCCACCACAGTGCTTGGATAGTTTTTCTATTTTTAGTAGAGACGGGGTCTTGCCCTTGCTCAAGCTGGTCTTGAACTCCAAGCTCAAGCAATGCACCTGCCTCGGCCTCCCAGAGGGCTGCGATTACAGACATGAGCTACCATGCCTGGCCTGACTTAACATCCTTTTTCCAGGTTGGTTTCCACGTCTTAAATGACTGTATCTACTCTTAATTCCTCCAGTCTATTGACTTTAACTAAATTAATCTCTAAGTTCAAGCAAGGAGGAGACAACTTCTTCTAATGAATGGCAAAGTGAACTTGCCCTCTACTTTGGGACTGGAAAACCCCCCAAACATGAGTGCCTGCTGGCATTTCATATTAACAAACTTTTTTTTTTTTTTTT